GGCCCCCCGGAAACGGGCCGCAGCCACTTCTGGAAGTGGCCGCAGCGATCAGCTATCTTGCGATCGGCTGCGGGGAGCACCCCCCTCTCCAGTCGGCGGGATTGACTGCGAGCTCCCCTACTGGTTGCTGACTGGTCACTGGGGGAGGTGCATGACTAAGGTGGCACCAGTCGCCCTTGCTTTCTGTGAAAACTCAAAAACACAGACCACCTTCCCAGCAATACCCCGTGTCGCAGAGCACTGAGGTGCCCTGCTCCTAAAGAGGGGAAACTGCTAGGAAAAGAGCCCTAGCAGTGAATAAGGAGCCCAGCTGTTGGTTGCCAGGGCAACTGGAGCTAGCAAGAGATTGCACCTGCCAGCGATCATCTGACTGAAAGGGGCAGGGCCTGGCTCCCTTATAAACCCTAGAGGCTGAGGCCAGAGGCAGTTCCCTACCAGCAGCCAAGGAGGAAGGCGCTCTCTGTCATGGAAGAGAGGAGAAGCCTGAGGCAGGAGCAGCGTCTGACACTGCTGCGAGATGAAGAACCCGCGGTAGGCTTGAACGTAGTTATAGCCGGGTGGCTTCCGTTTATGTTATAGCCAAGGGGCTTGCGTTTGTGTTACTGTTTGATACTGGTGGTTTGGGTGAAGCTATTAGGGGTTAGAGGAGGCCTCATAGGGGACCCACAGCAGTGTGGGGACCCCAGCACCAGTGAGGGTGCAGCAGTCGGGGTGCACTGACCCCAACCCCAGAGAGGGGCAGTTGAGAAGTCCCAGAAAGGGGGCGTTGCTGAGAAGTCCCAGGGTGGGCGTGGTGAGCCCCAGAGAAGGGGGGCAGCATTGTGGAAGAGCCCCAGAGAGAGGGCACCGTTACTGAGGAGCCCCAGAGAGGGGGCAGCATTACGGAGAAGGCCCGGAGAAGGGGGCAGTATTGTAAGGCCTGGAGAGAGGGGGCAGTGCTTTGAGAAGTGCCAGAGAGAGGGCACGGAGAGAGACAGGGCCGCAGAGAGCCTGAGCACCAGAGAGAGGGTGCAGACCTGGACCAAACAACGTCTATTCCAGCTGTGAGGCTTGGGGCATGGTAAAGGGATGGTTGGAGCCACGCATAGCCCATAAGGCTAGGGTGCCCATGAAGCACCCATTGCTGAGTGGGACCACAAGGAGTCCGGGAGTCCACGGGGCAGATATTACAGCAACCCGTGTCCAAGAGGACGTAAGGCAGCCTCCCATACATTTAATCTCCATCAAAGACATGGCGGGGGAGAAGTGAGGGGGCCCTTTTGAGCCAACTTGGCATGGGAAGGGGGCCTTGAGATCACGGCCCTCCTGTAGGACCCCGCCGTGACACCCTCCTATACCCTCCTAACCACCATGGATGTTACCAGCTTATATACCAACATCCCACACCAGGATGGGATCCAGGCCTGCCTCACATATCTACAAGAGCAAGATGACAACTCAGAGTACAGACCTCAAGATATTACTGAACTTACACACTTCATCCTCACACACAACAACTTCAGTTTCAACAACTAGCACTCCAGACCATGGGTACAGCTATCGGCACCAAAATGGCCCCACAATATGCCAACTTTTTTAGGCCCACTTGGAAGAAGAATTCCTCAAGATCTGCACCATCAAACCCATGCTATACCTGAGATATATAGATGACATGTTCATCATTTGGACCGAAAACCTAGTCTCTGATTGATTTCCATCAGAAATTCAACAATCACCCCTCCATCAGACTATCTCTTGAACATTCCAACGCTGCCATTTCCTTTCTAGACACTATGATCAATATCTAGAATGGGGAAATACAAACTACCATATACAAGAAACCCACAGCCCATCATACATATCTATACAGAACCAGCAAGCACCCTAAACAAACCAAGAAGGCTGTAAATACAGCCAAGCCCTCTGGTACCACCGAATTTGCATGGACGAGAATTCCCGCAATCGTCACCTCAACTCTCAAAAGGGCTTTCACCCAAGAAGGACACTCCTCCAGAGAGCTAGATCACACTTTTGAAAGAGCCACCCAGATGCCATGTGAAAAATTGCTACAGTACAAAAAGAAAATCCCCACGAATCACACACCATTAGTTGCAACATATCATCCTTCCCTGGAACCTACATGGAAAATCCTCAAACAATTGCAACCAATACTAGAAAAAGACCCAATTCTTAAAGAGATCTTCCC